CTTGCTACAGAGGGTCAAGGACTGCAGCCTTCAATATGGATTAAGACTCAATGTCAAGAAGACAAAGATTCTCACCACTGAACCAATTGGCAACATCAGGATGGATGGTGAACAGATTAAGATTGTTCACAGCCTTAGTTTGCTTGACTCCACAGTCAACACTCTTGGCACCAGCAGCTAGGAAATTAAAAGACGTATTGCAATGGGAAAATCTGCTGTTAGGGACCTCTTCAAAGTACTGAAGAGCAATGGTGTCTCTCTGGAGACTAAGGAGCACCTGATACAGGCCTTGATCTTTGCAATCAGTTGTTATGCGTCAGAGTTGGAAAATGACTAGGGAGGGTAGAAGGAGAATTGATGCCCTTGAGCTGTTGTGCTGGAGAAGAGTATTGAATGTACCATGGACTGCTACGAAAACAAACAGGTTCATCCTTAAGAGTGTTAAACTGGGTGGCTCCTTGGAGGCAAGGATTCTGAGGCTTCGTCTGACATACTTTGGAAATGTTGCAAGGAAGGACCAGTCTTTGGACAGGGACATCATGCTTGGGAGAGTGGAGGGACAGCACAGGAGGGAAAGACCCTCTATGAGGTGGATCAATTCAGTGACTGGGCTGGGTGTGTCGGAGATAGTGCGATTGGCACAGGATAGTGCAGAGTTTAGAGCTGTTGTACGTATGGTCGCTATGAGTCGCAAGCGACTCAACTGCATATAACAACAAGTTTCTCATTAACCTAGGATAATTTTGATCCTTCCTGGATATAAAACCTTTAATAAGGTCAAAGAAGAAGGCTTGTGGGTCACTTAATTTATTACTCTTATTTCACTATATTTTACTATATAAAATGTTCAAATTTCTGATTGAAAGTAGATGTTCCAGCTTATCTGTATGCAAGTAAATTGAGGAAAAAGCTTTATTTATAAGAGAACAAAAGAAGTACACATTAATCCTTGGAATTTGTTTTATTAACGTGGGACTGTTTAAAGAGGAAAAAGCTGGACAGAAGGGCACAAGGCCATGAGCATCTCTCTTAAAGGGCCAGAGGAAGTAAGAATAACACAACCCCTCACTGCCCTGGAGCAAAAAGCATATTAAGAGCCTGTAGCCCCACCCTACGGTACTTCTAGAGAAGACCAACAGTGAGAGGTTCATTTATTCATTGCTGACTCACAGACTTAGATTATGGTGCCAACAATGGGGTTTATCAGGGATGGAAGTTGGAGAGTGGGGGAGGCAAAGCATATCATCACCCAAAATAAGTCCAGGTTTTAGCCCAGCACTTCCAAGGCACAAGTCCTCAGTAAGTCCAGGCTCCAGTTTCAGTTCAGCAGTCAAATCCACATCATTCCAAAATGTTTGCCTAAGAGCAGTTGTAAGTCAGGTTTAAAAAAGAAAAAAAGTCAGCCTTTCCTTCAAACATCTGGCAAGAACAGCCAAACTTTTAATTGTGGGCAGCATAAATGCAAGAAGCCTCAGGTTCCAGCTTGCCACTATTTGTCCACAGCAGTGCCACCATCTCTCCAGCCACCAGGGTCTTGCCCTCACCAGTGTCTTGCTGCCATAGCCTTGCTTCCGTCAGGTCTTGCTGCTCAGTGTGGAGAGCACTCTTTCACTTCAAATCACTTGATGATTTGCCAGATCATGTGTCTACAATTAAGGTAGCTGGAGATGAGAGTTTAAATGGCTAAGAAAAGCCAAGTTTTAGGCTAACACTACAGGGACATTGTGCCCACGCACCTCATTTAAGCATAGGTAACAAAATTACTATGAATAATCCCATTGAGAAAAACATTCTTTTGTTGGAAATATTCCTAACCTGTGAGTAGAATATCATTGGTAGGGCAAGTTTACATTAGTGGCTCAGTTTTACTTCTATAAAGTGAACATGTTTCAATTTTTTTCTGTCTATTTTCAAATAAATCTTAAATTTTCAAAATATGTGGTCACTAGACAAATGTACTAAAATCAGGCCTCATTTCTCTAACAGCAGACAGACAGCTTAGTAAGGGTTTCTTGAGCTTCTGTATCTGTACTGTCATAGAAAGGAAAACCTTTATTTACCACCCTATGCTTAAAAGAGTCTTAAACTGGACTGCCAAGAAAACCAATAGGTCTGTCTTAGAGAGGACGAAACCAAATTCTCCTTGGAGGCTAGGATTTTGAAGCTCCATCTCACATACTTTGTCTAGGAGAGGCTGGTCCTTGGAGAAGGACATCATGCTTGCAAGAGTTGGAGGGACAGTGCAGGAGAGAAAGACCCCAGATGAGATGGATTAATACAGTAAGTGTAGTAATGGGAATAGGTGTGTTGGAATTAGTGACACTGGCTTAGGACAGGACAGGAAGGGTTCAGAGATGCGTTACATAGGATCTCTGTGGTTCGCAGGTGACTCGATGGAACCTAACAACAACAAAAACAAAAAACATGTTTGGAGGCTCGTGTATGAAGCGGTTGAATTCTGGAAGATGGTTTCTCTTGTCTTGGTGAGGGTCTGGTGTGGGCCATTTGGTTGGTTTTTTCATTCACAATTGGGTATGAGCTGATTGGATTTGCCAGATTTAGCTAGCAATGAGCTAGGGCGCGAAGCTTCTTGGTTTAGAGTAAACCAGGACCTGGTGGGCACACTGCCTTCAGGCCTGGTGTTAATTGTGTTTGGGAGGAACATTCTTATAAGTGGTGCAGCACTGGTCCGTCAGTTTTCTACACTGAAGTAACTTGGGGTTGCTGTGGTGCTGAACACTGTGCCGCTGATGGGTCAAATGCCATAATGGCTACCCATCGGTGTTGGTGGAGCTCCCAGATTGATTCATGTTTGGAAGCAGGAGTGTCATCCACTTCATCAACCATATGCCTCTGGAAACTGTGAACATAGAGAAATGCCTATAGTTATAGTACAGAGTTCAGGTCTTTTGTTCATAGGGTCGCTATGAGCATGCTCAACTTGACAACATTTAATAACAACAAAAATACTTAAAAACAGTTTTAATATGAAAATAAACATAATAAAATATACATCATCTCAGCAGTTTTATCTATATATAATTCAGTTACATTGATTACATTCTTCAAATTATATAGTTATTCTTACAGTCCCTCTGCTTTAAAGGGATAGTCTGAAGCACTGTTTGATCTCAGTATCTACAAAGGAATTATGTTGAATTATGCCTAGCTTAGTTAACATCTACACTGTAACATGATGTCAGGCTGACATTTTATTCCAAAATAATCTGTTGGGGGACGATTTATCAACAGTCTGCGTTATGCAGATGGCACAACCCTGGTTGCTGAAACTGAAGAGGACCTGAAGCGCCTGCTGCAGAGTGTCAAGGACTGCAGCCTACAATATGGATTGAGGCTCAATGTCAAGAAGACAAAGATTCTCACCACTGGACCAATTGGCAGCATCAGGATGGATGGTGAAGAGATTGAGATTGTACACAGCTTTAGTTTGCTTGGCTCCGTAGTCAACAGTCTTGGCACCAGCAGCCAGGAAATTAAAAGGTGCATTGCCATGGGAAAGTCTGCTGTTAGGGACCTCTCCAAAGTACTGAAGAGCAATGGTGTCTCTCTGGAGACTAAGGTGCATCTGATACAGGCTATGGTCTTCGCAATCACTTGTTATGCATCAGAGAGTTGGACAATGACTAGGGAGGATAGAAGGAGAATTGATGCCTTTGAGCTGTGATGCTGGAGAAGAGTATTGAGAATACCATGGACTGCTAGGAAAACAAACATATTCGTCCTGGAAAGCGTTAAACCGGGTGGCTCCTTGGAGGCAAGGATTCTGAGGCTCCGTCTAACTTACTTTGGACATGTTGTGAGGAGGGACCAGTCCTTGGAGAGGGACATCATGCTTGGGAGGGTGGAGGGACAGCGCTGGAGGGGAAGGCCCTCATGAGGTGGATTGATTCAGTGACTGAGATAATCGGGATGGGAGTGTCAGAGATGGTGCGATTGGCACAGGACAGAGCAGAGTTTAGGGCTGTTGTACATAGGGTCACTATGAGTCGACAGCACATAACAACAACAACAACAGCATGCCAGTAAATTTTTATCTCTCTTTTTATTTAACTAGTTAATGGGTCGCACTATAACTATTACTTTAAAAAGTCCTGACTGGATCAAAACTTTAGAAGAAGAAATGAGTTTGGAGAAAATTAATGTGCCATTGCCATCGTCGACCAGCTCTACTCTGCTTGGTGAAGACGCGGAGGTCACAGCAGATTTCGATATGGAAGGTTGGTCTGTTGAACCCATATACTTCTGTAGTTCCTGATATGGTTCCTTCCCATCACTGAGGTCTTAGCAAATAAGTTTTCTAAACTTCTCCTTCTTGGGACATAAGTACTGGTATTAATTAGCTTTTATTTTACATTGTATTGTATTGATTTAGCTTTTGCCTACACTTAAAATGTATTTACCATATTGTTGTTCAAACATCCAGATGTTAATAAATGTTAGGATGTGACAGGAACTCAAATTGATGTTTTAGTTTCTTCGTACTAATTTCAAAATAAAGGAAATACATAGACAAGGTGTTGTAACCTCAGAATTTTAAAAGATTCAAAGTGATTGAGAACACCTGTATTTGAAATGGAACCAACCAGTGTATAAGTAACTATTTTAAGTTTTTAATTTGGGGCATATTATCTAGATGTAATAATTTCCTTAACATGGTTAAGAAATTTATTCCTTTTTAAATACTTTCTTGTTCTAGCATATTTTTTAATTGAAATGCATCTTGGTTTATGAAATAACTTATAATATCCTATACAGCTAAATGTTACATTTGAGAATTGAATAGCTAACAAGATTAATCTCTAGGTTTTTAGCCAGCTTCATTCATTTACCAAGTTCACTCAACAGATGTAGTCCTTGTTCTTAGGGAGCTCTGGTGACCTAGTCTGTGAGGAGTAAAACTGCTAAATCAAATGCCATGCCTCTAGTGGTTTAAATCCACCAGCAGGTCCTCAGAAGAAAGATAGACCATTTTCTCCATGCAGTTAACAGCCTCAGGAACCAGGTGGAGGGTGAGCTGTGTGTTGATTCTGACTCGACAGCAATTGAGAGAGAGAGAATCCTTGCCTTTACAGAACTCAGAGCTTTGAGTTTAACATGTAAGTAGGCAATTACAAGAAAATTATGTAAGTTCAGCAGTGAAAGAGTTTGGGAAGCATTGCTTGATCTGGAATTGAAAAATTGATGAAAGTTTCCCAGAGGAATTGAAATTTAAGCTGAGAATCTGAAGGCCAAGTAAGAATTAGATTAAAGAGAGTAGAAGAACGATCCATGAAGATGAATGCATAGAAACCTAAGGGAGAAAAAGAAGATCTAAAGTTGATTATACAAATGTAGCTTGTAAAGGGGTAAATGTAGATGGGAGGATGAAAAAGTAAGAAGTGGTGTGAAATAGGAGATTAATTTGTTTGTTTTAAATACCTTATTGTGGTTTAGGTGAGAGTGTACAGAATAAATTTGGTTCCTGTTGAGCAGGTTCTGCATATGTTGTCCTGCGGCATTGATTGCTGACCCCACACTGTGTCAGCACACTTCCCATTTCCACCCAGAATTCTCCCTGCTTTCATTCTCCCAGTTTGTCTGTCCTTTATTCCTCTTTTACTTTGCTTTTGGCTACATGCTGCTCTTTTGGCCTTCTACGATTGATCGTCTGGTTTCCAGGTGTTGTTGTTTGCATGCGTCTTCCATGTGGTGATCCCTAGGAGTGGGTTCAGTGCCAGGTCATAGGGTGTCTTAAAGCCAGTACTAGCTCTTACCAGACCAGTGCAAGTCTGGTCTTTTTGTGAGTTTGAATTTTGTCTTTTCTTTATATCTTCGTTCATTTGTTATATTCTGTTGCCATATTGGTCAGAGCCGTTGCTAGGAGTGCTCAAGTCCCATCTAATTCTTCTGGCTTCAGGTTAATAGAGACTGTGTTTCCTGCGGTGAGTTTAGTCCTTTGCAGTGATTGTTTGCTTAATTATTTGGTTTCCTTCACTCTTACTTGTTCTGGAACAGAACGAAACCCCATAGTTCATGAGTTAGAGAACTGTTTACTGTCTTCAAGAACCCTGTTATAGCAGTTCACCTAGATGTCCCCCAAGGCTGGAGTCCCTGCCCTTCAACCCCAAAATCCCAACCCTGGTTGTGACTGAGAGGTTTTCCTGACTGTACCTCTGTGCATGGAATTTGGTTTTGAACATGTTGAATTTGAAGTGCCTGTGTAGTCATTTACCAGTGTTGGCTGTTGCATAGGTGGTTCTAGTGAACAAGAGAGTGCACCTCTGATGTGGTTCTGGACTTTCAAGGTAGCTCTACAGACAGTTAAAGTCACAGGCACATTACGTTATCCAATAGGATTATGTAAAGAAGTAATAGAAATAGTCCTGGATCAGATATTGAGGAACACTGCCTTAAGCAATAGGCAGAAGATGTCTGTGTATAACAGGAAAATACAGAGGGGGTTTAAAAAGTCAACCTAGACACATAAAGACAGAATGTAGTGATGTAAAAGTCAAGGAAAGCGAGTGTAAGGTGGGGGAGCAGTCGGTGATATCTTGCCAGATGGATGAAGAGATGTGAAGACAGTGACTTGTCCTTTGGATTCAGTATGAGGGAGGGAAGTTTCTGATGACATTTGCTGGAGTAATTTCAGTGAATGAAGCCATATGGTTGGTGAAGTGGAGAGAGAGTGCCTATGAGCAGCTATTTTAAGGAAGTTTGGTTGAGGAGGGGGCTGACAGTCAACCCGGGAAGATCGAGGATCTGTGAACTGTGGTTTTTAAGTGAGAAGGGCTTGAGAATACTTAATGCCTTGTGTGAAAGTGCTCCTAGACAGGAGAGGACAAGTAATAATGGGTAATGGAAGGCAGGATAATTGATAGAACCAGGTCACTGAGGAACTGGGCAGCTTAGACCTCATTCCTTCCATCTCCTGGACCTGCCTCTGGCTCAGGGGCACATTGTTGTCGGGCTCTCTCATCTTATGACTTGTGTTTCCTCTGTGAAGTTTAGAAGCAAGGTTCTTTCTAGGATGGTACAACTCCAGTTTCAGTAGAGTTGAAAAGATTCAAGATGCAGTTCCTTTGAAGAAGAGACGAGGGAAGAGCCAACTGGAAATCAACAGGCAGCTTGGAAAGCATAGAGGAGGTGGAAAACAGCTCATTTAATGTGACGAGATCATCAGGATCCTGTGCTTTTCTTTAGCAGGAGTGGTCCAACTGAACCACAGAGAGAATAAATTTTAGAATTGACACAAGACTGGATTTTTATCGAGCCAGTACCCTGGAAAAAAGCTGAAGTAGAGAAATAGTTGAGGTGAAGAACCAAGGAATCGAAAAATAGATGTAGAAGAAAGCCAAGTCATCTTGTGGCCTAAAAGTAGGGCCTTCTGGATCCTCCTGACATCAAAAGGGGCAAGAGGGTAACTGGGAGATAGTGAGCTGAAAGACAGGAAGGTGAGGGTTACAACGAAGAATTTTAGCTTATTCCTTCAGAACTAGTACCATTTGATGGGGTAATAATGTCTGGAATGTGTATGTTGAGAGTGGAGGCATCGGTGAGCCTAAGACTGAGGCATTACTTTCACCTACTGTGGGATAGGTTGTCCTCAAGTCCTTTGATGCAACATGATAAGATCGTGATACCTAATTAGCATCTTGCTTTCTGCTCAGCCCTTATGATTTGGCTGAGATGACCAGAAAGATGAAATGTGGAAATTATGCAACCAGTTGAGGTAGAGTATGTAAATCCCTGATGGCATAAGCTTCAGAGAAACAAACCTTTTTGTTTGAGGTTAGGAAATTGATGTACTGGAACTAGAGTTAGATATCGACCCTGAAATAAATAGGGCTGAGAAGACCTCATAGGGTCAGTGTCCCACTAAAGCAAAAATGAGTGAGGAGACTGATACGGAAAGGTTTGTGACTATAGCTGTCTTCTAAGAATTTGTTTACTGAAAGGGCCAGATCCAAAGTGGAAGCATAGAAAGATCCACTGAGCATAGTATAAAGGTTTGGGAGAGAGCAATAAATATTTGTCATCACTGAAATACCAAAACCCAATCCATTGCCATTGGGTAAGTTCTGACTCATAGTGACCCTGCAGGACAGAGCTGCGTGCTCATAAAGTGTGGAAGGCTGTAAAGCAAACAGCCATACCTTTCTCCCGTGGCACAGCTGTGGGTTCCGTCAGCCTTTCCGCTAGCGGCTGTGTGCTCACCCACTGTGCTGCTTAGGAATCTGAAAGCCCCTTTTGTCAACCCAGTTCCTGTTTAGTCAGAGCCTGTTCTTGCTCTTAGATGATTCAATATCTTTATTTCTTTTTCTTTTCTGTCAGAGGTTTTAATTCTAGTTTTATACATACATATTTTGTTTCTCGAGGCCTTTGTGCTTATTCTAAATGTAATAATATGAATATGTTTATTTTGTGTATTTAACCCATTAAAACCTGCCTTAGGGAAAATATTCTCTGAGAAGATTAAAGTGCTGAAATTCTGTAACCTTGCTTTTCCTCAGGTGATATCGATGACTATAGTGCTGAAGTGGAGGAGATTCTTCCTCAGCATCTCCAGCCTTCTTCAAGCTCTGGCCTTGGCACATCACCGAGTTCTTCACCCCGGACCAGTCCCTGCCAGTCACCTACCATCACAGAAGGTCCAGTACCGTCCCTCCCTGTCAGACCAAGTCGGGCACCGTCAAGAACACCAGGGCCTCCAAGTTCACAATGTGTGTATTTTATTGTAAAGTTTTGTATTACTTTCTTTTGTTGATGCAGTTGAATCTATTTTATGGAGCCATTCATTCTTGTTTCACTTTTATAGGTATATGCTCAGTATACTCTGTTTTCTATGTGTACAAAAGAAGAAGATGTTATAGCTGATAAGCCATCATTGAAAAACATGCTAATTGTCACTGCCAATTGTTGAAAAAAAATGTAGATTCTGTTTTCTGGGTAGATAAGTTTTATCTATTTCTTAAGATTGACAGTTTTATGTTGTGATGATAGATAACAACAGCATATCTGTGCATTATCTGTTTGATAGGGGAAGCAAGTGGACACAGAGCACTTTTAAAATTGAACTTTATAGTAAATTTTTCTTCCAAAGCTAGATTTGTGTCTAGCATTTGGTACATTAAATTATTAAGTCACTGTTTACAGAGCTGGAGCTAAGAAAATCAATACCCTTCACAATAGCTAATCACAAGATTAAATACTTGGAAGTAAATCTAACCAGAAGCACAAAGGATCTTTTCAAGGAAAATTAGGAAACATTACTACTAGAAACAAAAAGAGACCTTGAGAAGTGGAAGAATATCCCTTTCTTATGGATAGGAAGACTGAATATTGTGAAAATGACTATACTACCAAGGGCAGTTTACACATTCAATGCAATCCCAGTACAAATACCAACCCCATTCTTCAACCAAATGGAGAAGGCAATCTCCAGTTTCATTTGAAATGGAAAGAAGTCCTGGATAGACAAAGCACTCCTTAAAAATAGAAACAGGGTAGAAGACATCTCACTCCCTGATTTCAAATCCTACTACACAGCCGTGGTGGTCAAGACAGCATGATACTGATACAATGACAAACACATAGATCAGTGGAATGGAATTGAGAATCCAAAAATCAGCCCTTGAACCTATGGACAACTGATTTTTTATGAGGAGATGAAATCAATTAAGTGGGGAAATGACAGCCTTTTAAACAAATGATGTCGGCAAAATTGGAAAACTATCTGCAGAAGACTCAAGCAAGATCCGCACCTCACTCCATACACAAAAACCAACTCTAGATGGATCATGGACCTAGGACTAAAACCAAAGACTATAAACTTCATTAAAGAAAAGCTTGGAGGAACTCTGGAAGTCCTAATTCACAACATAAACAGTCTTCCAAGCATCCTGAAATATCTACAACCAGAAGAAGATAAAATAGATGAATGGGACCTTCTAAGAATCAAATCCCTATACACATCCAAAAACTTCTCCAACAGGGTAAAGAGGGAAGCCACTGGGAAGACTGGGGGAAAAAATATTTGGTAATGACATGTCAAATAAGGGACTTATATCTAGAATTTATCAAATACTTGAGTACCACAACAAGATAAAGGTAAACAACCCAATTGAGAAATGGGCACAGGATATGAACAGACACTTCACCAAAGAAGACATTCAGATGGCACACAAACACATGAAGAAATGTTCAAAATCCCTAGCTCTAAGAGAGATGCAAATCAAAACAACTATGAGATATAACCTCACCCCAGTAAGAATAGCAAAATTTAACAGAACAGCAAAGAACAATATGGTGAGGTTGTGGAGAATCTGGAACCCTTATTCACTGTTGGTGGGAGTGTAAAATGGTATAGCCGCTATGGAAGGCAGTATGGCACTTTCTCCTAAAGTTGCAAATAGAAGTACCATTTGACCCAGCAATTCCACTCCTGGGAATATACCCCGAAGAAACTATAACTGTCATCCAAGCAGATATACGCACACCCATGTTTATTGCAGCTTTGTTCACAAAAGCAAGGAGTTGGAAACAACCTAAGTGCCCATCAACAAATGAATGGATAGAGAAGCTGTGGTATATTCACACAATGGAATACTATGCTGCGTTGAAAAACAAGGAACTCATGAAATATTAAAAATGAGTGACCCTGGAAGACATTATGCTAAGTGAAATATCTCAGTCACTAAAGGACAAATATTGCATAGTGCCACCGTTGTAAAACGGGACTGACTCTGGGATTGGGGGAGACTGAGAAAGATGGGATAAATTATGTATACTGCATTGAAACAGATGAGGGAGAGAACTATTTGAAAGGGATATGTGATTAGGTATTATTGTCATGACAGGAGTCCAGAAAGAAGGCTGCATAGTGGAGTGGACTTGGGAGGAGGGATTGTAAAACAATGAAAGAATTTTTCTTTTCAAAGAGAAGAGCGAACTGGTGGGGGGGAGGTTGGGTAGGGAGAAAAGTGCAACAGTGAATGAATGGAAATCCAAAGTCCCCGTAAACTTCCATTAAAATGAATAATAATTTAAAAAACCTGAAGAAAAAGAAGATCAGCAGCAACTAGGCATAGAATACCATAGCAGCCTAGTAATAGCGTGCCCAGTTGGGCTGAAATGAAAATAGTATGACAGTTCTGTGGAAAATAAGTAATTTATCACAAATCATATAGGCATTAAAGGGAAGTAGTACTTAAGAGTTAAACCAGATATATCCACGTTTGTTCCATATTTGTTGTAATTTGTCGAGCAGTCTTCTGCCTCATCCTGACTCCAGACTTGTTGGAATAAAACACTGCCTGATCATAAAAAAAAAAAAAAAATCGGTCACTGTACTATGCTTTCAGCCAAGATCCATCTGACATTAGCTAGTAATATAAATAACAAAATAGCAAATTTGATACATACACATTATAAATATGAAGTATGCTACTTTTCTACCAACACAAACTAAATTGATACTTAATAAAATTTTTTAGCTTCTCCTGTTGACACTCAGCCAGCAACTTTGCAACAAAAAGATACTTCACAGATTTTAGAGCCCAAAAGGCCGCCTCCTCCCCGCCCAGTGGCCCCTCCCTCTCGACCAGCGCCCCCACAGAGACCGCCTCCACCATCAGGTAACCATCCACTTTATGGCCATCTTTGACTAGATTTCAAATCTCCGCCACCCCATTTAAAAATGGTTTACATATTTTTAAATTTCTAGCTTCTAGATTTGATTCTTTTGCCTTCATACTAGCTACTTCAGCTTTTCTCTACAGGACATAGTAGGCTGATAGACCCAACAACAGGCAAAGGAGAATCAACTGGATTTCTCAGGCTTGTTTTCATCACTGTGCTTTTACAAGTGTGCATGATATGCTTAGTTTTGGTTTTGCTAATTTGAATTATTCTTTAGTAAGTTAGTTTTTATTTTATTAATAAGCATAAAAATGATTAGCTTACTGATTTCTTTAAAATTTATAATTAGAACTAAAGAGTATTAGTGTAATTAGTCAATATGAAATAAGTTCTTTTTTAAAAAATGTAATGTTGGTACTTAAATTATTAGAAGTAAATACATTTAAGATTATTTTTGTTTTGTTTTAGAAGGTTTTTTCCTAATATCTCAATATTGATTTGTACTTCCTACATGCTGTTTGAAATAGTGAATGCTGTAGCAAATCTCTGACACCTAAAAACTTTTAATGTCATTTCCTTTCTGCTGCGTATTTCCTTATGAACTATAAGGGGCTAGGAGTCCTGCACCGGCTAGAAAAGAATTTGGAGGTAACCATTTACATTCATTATAATATATGGGTTATGGTCCATTTATGCTTTGGAGTTTGGATCATATAACTGAAATGTAATTGGGCCTATTTAATAGAAATCAGTCTGAATGCCATTTATACTCCAAGTTAAAGATAGCTTCACATTTTCTCTATCTTCCTGTCAAGTTAAAATTAGGGCTTAATTTCAATACTGAAAAGGTCTAGTATGTGAATTTGCAGATAAATATAGCCTACTACATTATTACAGAACTTTTTCTTGACAGAGTCATTTTTATTGAAAATTACTAGCTTCTTAAAGTCATGTTAATTTCAGGAGGGATTCATGCATGTACAATGAACACAAAACATTTCACAGTATTTGCTTTGGTGTGCTCTTCTAGTGCATTCCTTTCTTTAGTAGCTGTAGATGAGTAAGATTTCTTGGGAATGAAGTTTAAAGTTATAATAAATATCTGAAACTTATCTTTTACTTTGCATGGTTTCATTATAAATTGTCATAAAATTCATGCCTCTCATTTTTAAAAAATTTGAAGAACTAAATGAGTTTCTTTTTTAAATGAGTCTATCGCTTCTTATGTATTGCTTTTGGGTTTAATCACTTTGCTTTTGGGTTTAATCACTTTGCTTTTGGGTTTAATCACTTTAATCTTACTTTGAAATTAATAAAATAATAAAAACAAACAGCATGAACTCAGTTGGAGTTCATATATTTGACACATTTTATTCAGTACTCAAACAATTTTTTTTAAAGGATGAGGCAGGTTCAACAGCTTTTTTTTACAAATCTACCTTTATACAGTGTGTATGTGAAGTTGATCTTTTTCTACTTTAGTGGTCAATCCCTAATCATAGTTCAGGTAGACTTTATTTATGTGTAGACCTTAATGACTTTATTATAATAGGAATAGCTAAGTTATTTCAGCACTGTTTTCTCATTACCATTGACTTGGAACTGACTCATAGAAAACCTTGCAGCAGGTTTTCAGAGACTGAAAATCGCACAGGAAGAGATTACTCATCTTTCTCACTGCAGGCTTCTGGTGGACTTGAACCTTTGTATTAGCAGTGCAGCTCCCTATGGCTGTGCCACCAGAGCTCCATTCAGCATTACAGGGCCTGCAAAATATTACCCATTGATAACTTTTCATTAACTTACAGAAAATGCTGTTTTTCCCTGGTTCAGAATCCTACTTACTTAATTCCCTTGATAAATTCTGTTTCTCTTTTGTTTTCATTAGGAAAACATTTTTAAATAAGTTGAATATTAAAAGATTTTATTAACAACCCAATTGATTCTTTAGGAACTAAACTTGTTTCAATTACTTCTTTTCCTAATTCTTTTATGCATAGGGTTTGTAACATATTTTTAAAAAACCAAACCAGTGGCCCTCAAGTTGATTCTGAATCAGAATAAACTATATGGTGGTGGTGGTGGGTACCATAGAGTCAGAACTGACCCATAGGTGACCTTCTGACAGGTTTTCAGAGGCAGTTAATCGCATGGGAGGAGATTGCCCATCCTACTCCTGCAGAACAGCTGATGGCCTCTAACCTAGAGCCTTCAGAATTGCAGTGTAGCTTCTTGCCACTAGGCGACCAAATCTCCCAGAATAACTCTGTTATTGTTGTTGTTATGTGCCGTCATTGAGTCGCTTGCGACTCATAGCGACCCTATGTACAACAGCCCTAAACTCCGCTCTGTCCTGTGCCAATCGCACCGTCTCTGACACTCCCATCCCAATTATACCAGTCACTGAATCGATCCACCTCATAGAGGGTCTTCCCCTCCTGCGCTGTCCCTCCACCCTCCCAAGCATGATGTCCCTCTCCAAGGACTGGTCTCTCCTCACAACATGTCCAAAGTATGTTAGACGGAGCCTCAGAAGCCTTGCCTCCAAGGAGCCACCCGGTTTAACCCCTTAGAATAACTCTATACTACATAATAATAATAGGACTGCTTCCAAGACCATAAATCTTGATGGACGCAGACTGCCACGCTTTTCTCCTTGTAAATTTGATCGCCAGCCTTTTGGTTAGCAGTTACGCATTGAGCCACTGTGCAGGAGTGCTGCCTTACATAATACAGTTTCTTAGAAATTTGAGGTGAAATTGAAACGTCATTCATGAATTTTTAAAGTTTTTTAGACTGCCAAAATTTGGTACTTTTAATAGTGACCTCATTCTCGATATTAGGAAGGAGATGATTGTAAGGGGAAAGGCTTTATTCGTTGGATATACTTTTAATTTCTTCACCAGGAGAAATCTCAGCTATAAGAGAAAAACTGCCATCCCATTTCTGTGCTTCAGGTTAAAGAAAGGAAGGGCTCAGTCTTTTATGAGGCATAGAAATTCATGTTGTTTTGTATGATACGTATCACAAGAGATTTAAAGCAATAAAAAGAGCCTTTATATAAAAGTAAGTTCAGTGAAGAAGTTATGTGCCTGCCTTTCATTCTGTATTATGGGCTCCGAAAAACATACAGCTTCTGTTTTTTTCTTTAAAAAGGTGGTGGAGCCCCTCCCAGTCCTGGGGTAGCTAGGAGAGAGATAGAAGGTAACAAGACTTTTGCATTATAGAGATTGATCTCTGATTTTGTTTCTGAGTAAAAGCCTCTCTGCTGTTTGAAGGCATATTAAATATTTTCTTAGTCCAATGTAAACTTCCCCTTCCCTTCCTCACATATACTTTGGATCTTGATGTTTTTTCCTTTCTATGTATAGTTGGATATCAACTAATTTCCTTGATGTCCTCATGTTGTGTTGTGCTCTGTTTAGTATTTGTGTACCAAAACTTGTGACATTGATTCCAGCTTTAGGCAACTCTCTTAGAGTAGGACTGCCCTGCAGGGATTCTGAAGCTGTAAATCTCCATGGGAACAGACTCCCATGGAGCAGCTAGTGGGTCCTGACCACCGTCCTCTCAGAAGCCCTGACCTTATCCCACTGTGCCACCAGCCCTCCTTTCTTTATACTTGAGTAGGATATGAAATTACTGGAGCTAGATGGCTTTCAAAGTTCTTTTCAAAATAAACTTTTAGTAACATGCAGTATTAAACCTGAACCTTTAAAAAATAGTTCTTATAAGTAAATTCGATTTAGTCTGAAGGATTCAGTGTTTGATAGATAATCTCAGATTATAGCAGCATTTTTATGTCTTAATAGTGCCAAGCTAGATTTGTTTAAAAAACCACTCAGATTGAAGGTCATTTATTAGATTACAGTAACTGTGAGATTGATACATTTCATGAAACAATTATACCTGAATTTGTTTTCAAATCCATGATACTGCCTTCAGTAGTCCCACCTACTGTTTAAAGCCATGAAAGGACTTATGTCACCCTTCAGCTATATTGTAATGTGTTGTTTGATGATAGGTATGCCTTTCAACTACCTTAGTCATACGACTTTTTACAGAAATCCTGAAGGCCTCATTATGAATTTCTTCTAGCTGTCATCATATCTACAACATAAAGTCCTAAAAGAGAGCTATTTTAGGAACCTCCTGTCCATCTTGAAAAATGCATTTCTGTCTATTGCTGCATATAGTTTGCAAGTATCTTGGGACCAGTAGTGCCACATTTTGTGACCATGCTCACAGACTGACATGTTTTCAGGGTTTATAGGTGGGAGCTGTGTTGGAAAAATCAACTTAAAAGTGGCCCCATGAGCAAGATCTTAGGCTCAGGTCTAAGCTTGTCTCCCATAAGTGTCTGTGAGTCTTCTCATTTTTCTTTCCTTTGAGCTGTTTTGTTCAAGACTGAAAACATAATTATTTCACACAATCTGCTTCGTTTTGTTATCATCTCATGCTCGCATTTCTGCTGGTAATAAAACAGCAACCACCTGATGTGCTGTAATATTACTTTATTGTTTATGGATGGCTAATTTTTTTTGTTTCACCTTCCTGCTTCAAAGCACCCAAAAGCCCTGGAATGACACGGAAAGATAACATAGGTAAAAATGTTTGAATTTAGCTTCTTAGCATTAAAACTGGACTGTGAAATAATGTGCTTGGGCTCTAAGTGCATGCTTTCATGTTTCTTTTGATGTTTTAATTTAACTACATGATCTGTTATCTTTGTTGCAGGACGAAGTCAGGCTCCACCCCAGGCAGGAATCTCTGGCCCAGCCCCTGCTGGATACAGTGCAGCCAGACCGGTAGGCAAGACCTCCCTACTTTCCAGTTCAGGTTCTAAGCCTGAATTTGCTACTGTTTGTTACCTTGGAGGAAAGAAAGAGAAAAAAAGGAGAGAATTGAAATAGATAATGTGTAAGAGTGGCATCCACTTCCTAAGCAACATGCCTCCAGAAACTTTATGAACTTTGATAAATGACTGTAGTTATAGAAGGGCTTCAGGCCTTTTGCTCATAGGGTCGCTTTGAGTGGTGCTTGACTCAAAGGCAATCAACAACAAGAAGATACTTACAACTTGAACGTTTATATTAACATACTCTTCAAAAGTATCTACGTATACTTCATCATTTGGATGTACATATGATGTGCTGAAGTAATCATGGTCACAAGGGAAATACCCTAGAGTATCTAAGTATACGAGTAGGTAATACATTTAGACAGCTTTTTATATGTTATCAGATAATTAACGAGGGCATGGACAGACTCATTCTTTAATAAGGATTTTAGTTGGATCTTGGAAAAACATTCTGGTAGAGTCAGTATGTTAACAGTGTAACGAATGTTGTACTGATTTGCTTAAAATAGGAATTGAGTGCTTTAGGGCCTTCAGAGAAGGCATGGAGAATCTGGGGTGTTGTTTTTTCAGTAGTGTATCTTCCAGTGAATTTCATTTAGAATATGGAGTAAGTCATTCCAGAGTTTTACTTCTGTGCTTATAAAAAATTCAATGTGTGCATACTTTTTAGTTGCTTGGATTTTATTCCTTTATGAACTTTAGTATCTTTTCCATCTCTCATTGGGGCAAAGTCATACAGTAGCTACAAGTAAGGGCCCTGTAGTTTAGACCTGAGTTAAGATCCTTACTCTCTTTTCTACCTCTGTGACCTTGAGCAAGTTACATACACTTCTCTATCTTTTAAGCATACATAGTAAAGTAAAGTAATACCTAGATCTTGTAAATATTTGGAGAATAAAATGGGATTGCTTGTACAGTGATTAGCACAGTGCCTGGCACATAGTAAACCAATTAATGATAACTTACAAATTAAAAGGAAGATGATAAAATGTCTGACTTATGATGACAAAGAACAGTTCACATAGCAAGTTGAAGAAGAGAGGAATTCTATCTTAGATCCAAGTATCCTGCATGGGGACAGTGCGACTCATCTGCCATAAGTAGTACATGCAGAGCAGCTGTGTGCTAGGGGACCTTCACCCCACCCCCACCCCCACCTGGTCTCACACCATTGACTCAGCACTTTTTTTAAAATTTTTTAAAATAATTTTAATGAACATTTACAGAGATTTTGGATTTCCATTCATTCATTGCTGCACTTCTCTCCCCGTCCAGCCCTACCCCCCACCCCAGTTCGCTCCTCTCTTTAAAAAGTAAAATAAACACTCTCTCCCTGGTACACAACCCCCCCACACCCCTCCCACCGCCCCAAGTACATTCCACTATGCATCCTTAATTGTGGACTCTTGTGATAACCATAAGACCCTATCATACATCACTTTTAGATTATTGACTCAGCACTTCTGTTATACTCATGATCATTGTCCTCATGGAGCAAAATGATGGGCTATCGCAGACTGGGTATGTGATGTCCAGAAGAGGGTTGAACCAATTTCCCCTTTTGTTCATTCTGCACCTTCACTGTACAGGCTACAGCCATTTGTACTAAGAAGAGTGAATATCATTTATTAATAAAAATAAGATATGGTAGATTAATGAGTATAGACAAAGCATCCTATTTTCATCCAAAATGAAAAGTTGGGGATAATATCAGATAAGAGATTAACTGTACTGGAAAAGCAGATACTTTCACAGAAACTTACATGCTGAGAATAAGCAAATGTTTCAAATGTTACCTTTCCCCTTCGTAGACTATCCCACCCCGTGCTGGAGTTATCAGCGCCCCACAGAGCCACGCTCGCATGTCTGCCGGAAGACTGACCCCTGAAAGCCAGAGCAAGCCGTCGGAAGCACCCAAAGGTAGACACTCCACTACCAATACCAGTTTGTTCTGTATTCTTTCCTTTCACTTTTTATTTCCCTTACTCAAATGTGGATACCTTTTGTTCTTTGTACTACAAGAAATAAACTAGAATGTATTATTAATACAAATTATTATCAAAAGACCTAGAATGTCTTTTGAACATTTCACTAAATGAGAAGAAAAAAAATCTGACTCTCTAGAACTAAACATTTAACATCTAAGAATGATGGATTTTCTTGCTCATCTGTTTGGGTTTGTTAGGCTCAGCTCATCTTCCAGAGCCTCTGAAGCCTCAGGCTGCCCTTCCTGTGCAGCTGCCTGGACCCCCACCTGTTCAGAAGATGCAGGAACCTCTTGTCCCGGTGGCAGCACCTTTACCACAGTCTGCCCCACAACCAGTTTTGGAAGCTCCACCTCAACCACCGCCTCGAAGCAGATCATCTCATAATTTGCCTTCAGAGTCTTCCTCACAGCCACAAGTAAGTCTCACTATTAAGTAAAATACCTCTGATGCATAAAATATAGTATTCAAACATATTCATTTTCATTGTCAACTTTTAAAAACATAAATGAAAGCTTTAATTTTTATCTATTTTTTAATATTAGCAACACCTTGATATATGACTTCAACTGATAAGTGACCTTTGAGCTTATAAAATAGTCATGTAATAAATGCCTACTTTGACTCGTGGAGGTTTTTGGAATTTATTTTGATTTTCTACTTAGAACAGGATTCTCACAGAATGAGAATTGGGTTCTTTGGGGCATTTCCATTTGATTCCTTGGCTGTATACACATGTTTAATGTTTGTGACTTTTTATATTTTTCATGCATAGTTTACTCTGGATAGTTAGTAAATTTGGATAGAAAATACAGATTTCTTTTCTTAGTGCTCAGAAGTAATAAATTAGTCTTGGCGTTCACTTCATGGAGAGAAAGGCAGATCATATCAGCCCTTAAGCCGTGTCAGTAGGTGTGGTTAATTTCCAGTGAACACAGAGTGATCCTTTTGTTCCTCCAGTGCCAGTGATAGTTCTTTTCTGTGTTGGACCTGACACGAGGACTCCTCATTTATTTCAAATCATTGTAATCATTATTGGTTCAGTTTACCTGGTTTGGACTTGCAGCAGCAAGAGGCTCATTCACCAAAGGAAAAGTCATTGGAATAATAAGCCACTTCATTAGAGTCTCCAGGAAAATGGTGCCATTGCCATAATGGGTTGAAGTCACAGGATCAAAGGAACTCTTGTTCTGCTTGGTGATCTCATGCTGAGAAAAATATTCTTGTGTTTATATACAAAGTTAGATTGATAAAGTCCATTTTGGTTATTTAACATTATGTTTTATCTTACTCTAAAGTTAAAATTTGAAAATGCCATCAAGACTAAAGAAATGTTTTGGTGGGATCCTTTAAGGACTATTTCTAAACTCTTGTTGCTATTATTATATGCCATCAAATTGGAACTGGCTCGTAGTTGGCCCTCCAGAAGGTTTTCCAAGGCTGCATGTCTCATGAGAGGAGATTACCCATCTTTCCCCTATTGGAGCAGTTAGTGTATTCAAACCACCACAGCACAGCTCCTTACCACTAAGCCACCAGCGCTTTCTACTTATCAGCTAGACTTGGCATTATCTCTACCAATAATGGTACAACCAACCAGTTGATAGAGGTTAACTGTTTTCCATCTTAGTTTCTAGATGGTAAAAGAAAGCTATCCTTTTAAGTACAATCTAATTATAACCATAAGCACCTATGGAGCAGTTAACACTGACTCATCGAATTATACATCAAATTTATGAAATTTGAAGGAGGATATATAATAGAGAAAAACGATCTTGGTTTAATATGAATACCAAAAAGTAGTCGGCATTTTTTTCATTCTGAAAGTCCAGGATGTTCAATTTAATATTTAATTATCCTAGAAAGCCTACAAAAAATAAGCATCCACAGTCCTTTTCTGCCTACCAGACCATCTTGGGGCTCTGGTAGCCTAGGGGGTAAAGAGCTGTGCTGCCAACCTAAAAGTAAGAAGTTTAAGTCCACCAGCTACTCTGAGGGAGAAAGATGAGTAGTCTTCCTGTAATATTTACAGCCTCTAAAAACCCACTGAAGGGTCAGCTATGAGTCAGTGCTGACTCGATGGCAGTGAGTACAAGCCAGATGAAATTCATCAGAAATTTCTCTTCTTCTTTTCTTATATTGTATGTTGTTGTTGTTGTTGTTATGTGCTGTCGAGTCGCTTACGACTCATAGCGACCCTATGTACAACAGCCCTAAACTCTGCTCTGTCCTGTGCCAATTGCACTGTCTCTGACACACCCATCCCAATTACCCCATTCACTGAATCAATCCACCTCATAGAGGGCCTTCCCCTCCTGCACTGTCCCTCCATTCTACCAAGCATGATGTCCCTCTCCAAGGACCTGTCCCTCCTTACAACGTGTCCAAAGTATGTTAGACGGAGCCTCAGAATCCTTGCCTCCAAGGAGCTGCCCAGTTTAACCCTTTCCAGGATGAATCTGTTTGTTTTCTTAGGAGTCCATGGTACCCTCAATACTCTTCTCCAACACCACAGCTCAAAGGCACCAATTCTCCTTCTATCCTCCTGAATCATTGTCCAACTCTCTGATGCATAACAAGTGATTGCAAAGACCATGGCCTGTATCAGATGCACCTTAGTCTCCAAAGAGACACCATTGCTCTTCAGTACTTTGGAGAAGTCCCTAACAGCAGACTTTCCCATCGCAATACGTCTTTTAATTTCCTGGCTGCTGGAGCCAAGAGTGTTGACTGTGAGCCAAGCAAACTAAAGCTGTGAACAATCTCAATCTCTTCACCATCCATCCTGATGATGCCAATTGGTCCAGTGGTGAGAATCTTTGTCTTCTTGACATTGAGCCTCAATCCATATTGAAGGCTGCAGTCCTTGATGCTCTGCAGCAAGTGCTTCAGGTCCTCCTCAGTTTCAGCAAGCAGGGTTGTGTCATCTGCCCAACGCAGATTGTTGATAGATTTTTCCACCAGTCTTGACCCCACATTTCTCCTCATAGAGCCCAGCCTCCCCGATAATCTGTTTTACATACAGGTTGAAAAGGTATGGAGACAGGACGCATCCCCGGCATACACCCTTCCCAATTTTGAACCATGCAGTGTTCCCTTGCTCTGTTCTGACGACTGCCCCTTGGTCCAAGTATAGGTTTTGCAGTAGCATGATCAAGTGTTCTGGTATTCTCATTCTTCTCAGAGTCAGCCACAGTTTGTTATGATCCACGCAGTCAAACGCCTTTGCATAGTCAATGAAACATAGATATACATTCCTCTGGTATTCCCTGCTTTCAGCTAAGAGCCATCTAACATCAGCTACAATATCCCTAGTACCACAACCCCTTATAAACCCAGCCTGGACTTCTGGCAGTTCTCTGCCAATGTGCTGTTCCAATCGTTTTTGGATAATCTTCAGTAGAATCTTGCTTGCAGGTAAAATCAGTGAGATTGTTCTATAGTTTCCACTCTCTGTTGGGTCACCCTTCCTTGGGATGGGAACAAATAGAGATCTCTTCCTGTCAGTTGGCCAAGTGGTTGTTCTCCAGATTTCTTGGCACAACTTGGTAAGCACATCCAGGGCAGCCTCTGCTAGCTGAAATATGTCAATTGATATAGTTTCAATTCCTGGGACCTAATTTTTTGTTATTTCTTTCAAAGCAACCTGAACTTCTTCCTTCATCACCATAGGCTCTTGCTCATATGTTGTATACTTTATTTAAAACAAAACAAAAAAACACCTCTCTTGCTACTATCATTTTAGGGGCAGAAAATGGGCATTCAGTTCAGTGGTAAACTCATTATTGTCAAGAATAGATTCTGACCCCATAGGTTAGAGGAGAACTGTCCCTGCTGCAGCTCTTTCTTATTCAGCAGCTTGCAGGTCAAAGCACCGGCCTTTCACTAGGAGTCAGCATTTGACACTGTGCCCCAGAGCTGCATAGTTTGTAGGAACAGGTTATCTCAATTCCCAGATTCAGTGCAAGTATGCTTAGGCCCGTGTGAAAGTATCAGTATAAAAGTATTTATAACACACAGTAGTACAGGATGAATTTCCCTGTGACTGTCAAATGTCATCTTCTTTGATCTTTTTTCAGTGTCTGGATTTCTGGTTTGTATTGAATACAGTGACTTGGTGACAGACAGTATGTGCTTTATATACAGCCTGGTACTGTTCTCTCCTGAATCCTAAGATACTCCTTTAATAAAAAATAATAAAGATATTTACATTTTTCCTTATTGGTGGAAAAACTCCTCTGAAAATTATATACGGATATACTTTTGTTTTTTGTAGTGTGAAAGTTTCATTTATGTATTTGTGAGGGATCCTCCATAGTCTGTAGTAGACAATGTTTGAGGAGAGGAAGGGCTTTCCTCTTAACCTTTTTCATTTTTAAGCATAGTACCTATTCAGAAAATAGGAAAATTTAAAAAATTCTTGAAAGTAGCTATAAGTTAGAAAAATAAGAATTTGATTTTAAAATTTAAAAATTCTGATAGTTTGATAATGGCATGAAGGAGTCCTAGAAGTTAACATAGCTTGGAGGGTGAAAGGAGGGGATGAAGGAAATTAAGAAAGATCTAATGGGGACCTGAAAAGACAGGGTAATAGTAGGCATTGATTAATGGTGATTAATTTTACAAATAATGTATATGAGTGATCAAATAAAATACAGTGTGAATGAAGGAATGTGTGAAACACTATATGAATGAAGTACAATGTATACAAATTTTATATGCAAACCAATATAAAATAACAATTTAAGAAATTATTCTTTTTGCCCAAAACGTGTGACTTGTTTAAACATAAAAACATGCACTGGCTAGCTTTCCTTTATTATTTAAATGCCTTTGATTTTATATAGAAAAGATTCTTCTAAATAGAATCATTTGTGTGTTCTATAATTTCGACAACATGTTAAAATGACTCCCTTATCTGCCTTGTTCATTTAAAGAACGGTCAAAGAGCTCATTCCTGCCCTTCCATCTTGATGCAGAGAACCCACAGATCATTAAGAAAATGTGAAATTCTGAAGACTCATTTTGCATAGACAGGAAAGCCTAAAGATGATTAATATATTTTAGATGATATCTCTCTAAATTGGTAAAACATGTTTAGCTAATTAAAAATAAGATAATCATTGAGTATTCTGGAAGATTTGCCCAAAATGGTTTCTTGAGATTTAACAGCAACAAAATGAACCAACAAAAAACTAAAATATGTTTCCCTTGAGTCAATCTCAATGCAAAGCAACTCTATGGGACAGAGTAGAACTAGCCCATAGGGGTTCCAAGGCTATAATATATATAGAAGCAGATGGCCTCATCCATTCTGATGTAGCAACCAGGAGATTTGAACCACCAGCCTTTCCCTTAACAGCTAAACAGTTACCTACTGTGCCAAGAAGGATTCTCTTGTTTATACACCATGCTAGATTTAAAAAAAAAACACAACACTGCTATATTATAGAAAGATTATGAGAAATTATTTTTTTTTAGCAACAAAAGTAAAATCTAGTTTCTTAGCTTGCTTAAATTGTGAGATAATGATAATCTTGATAAAACTTGAGTTGTCTGGAGCAATTCTGGGTCTTTACCATTTATTAAATGAATATTAATTTTTAGCAGGCAGGTAATTTTACAACAGTGTCATTCTATCATATTTATCATGATACCAGATCTATAGATTATCCTAAACTGCTTAAAATATTGTAGGGTTCTAAAATCCAATTAAAATATATGTTTGGAATAACAGAACTTTAAACTGATTAGTAATCAAGCTCAGATGAAATTTATATCGGGCCCTAATTCAGCAATAAACTTTTTATTCAAAGTAATAAAAGAAATTGGAATAATTACTTGAACTAATGCTATACCTGGAAATATCATTGCTCTTGGGTTCTGTATATAACATAGAACTGAAAATACATTGGAGACTGAATTATTAAAATTGTTGGTTGATCTGAGATTGCCCTCCTAACTCTTTCCTTTGATGTCTGTGTTCCTTTTTCTCGAAGCAGGAGCAACCATCAGGGTAACAGGTATCGGACTATTATCAATTTTATATGTGCTTTTCATCTGTCCCTAGCACATTAGATGTATGAATCTTCTGTTTCATACATCTAAAGTTTCACCTATTTTTAAAACCACCTGTCCACATTAATCAATTCTCTTATCATTCCATAAAACTTGCTTTTCCTTAGTATTTTAAATTTTTGAGAACCATTTTAGCTTTTCTTGCTAATTCTTTACAGTTTGCTTCATTGTTTATGAAAATTAACAAAACTAAATGTGTTGCTTCAAGGAGGTAAGCTTTTAGTATACAAAAACCTATTTCAGAAAACCAGACTGGGTCTCAATTTTAAGAGGGGTGTGATTGTTAAATGGCTTAATATTTGGAAACAAAGTTGAGCATTTTGTTATAGATTTCTTACAGACATTGTTTTCTAAATATAGACAGTCCCCAGATTACAAGTGTTTTTACATACACCCTTAGTTAAGAACCAACCCCCTTGAAGCTTATCATCATAAAAAAATCTAGGTGCATATATTTGTTCATAATAACAAGAGCTACTTGACAATGCACATCAAAACATTATTACTACTGTATTATGTCACAGTATCACATAATGTAGTGTCACAGTGTAATGGAAATGCTGATGTTTTTTAAAAAATGGAGGTTTCAGTAGAACTTTATTTAACAGATTAAAGGCTGGCTGGACTTGACCAGTGACTCATAGTTGCAGACCCTTGCCTTAGCTTTCTAAAACACTGGTTTCTGTTTTAATAGTGTTTATAATTTGTTTTAGAAGGTTCTATATGACAGTCATATAGAACTCACTTCCTAGACAATTTGAAACCAGTTTCCTTATCTGTGATGTACAGGATCTTATTAAGAGCTATGCTGTGAAGGCACACTGCATAGAAGTTCTTTTTTAAAATTTATTCACATCATCAGTCTCTACTTAGAGTGTGTATGTATTTATATAGATATATACATGGAGGTTTTTTATGTTTACCAAGGACTTGAGTTAAACCTATAGCAATCTGCATGTCAGGAAAGAATTGTGCTCTATATGTTTTTCTTTTTCTACATTTATTTGTTGTACTGAGAATATACACAGCTAAACTATTTCCACACGTAATGATAATGGTTATTTATCATTGTCAACGGATAATTCTTTGCATTCTGCAGCTCGTCCTCCTTTTCTGAATTGTTTCTTACTGTTTTATATGTTTGGGAAGGTGCCATATATATCAAGACAGACATTTAACTATGGTGTTAGTTGCCAGCTGGACCTAACCATTCCTCCTTACATGCAAATTAAAGACCAATTTAAGAACAAAATTCATTTGTAACCTGAGGACTGTCTGTAGATTTATTAACAAGATTCTTTTAATTAGTGACGTTGAAAAATTCAAGTTATTGTTAAGAGGGTTAAAAAAATCTTCCAACACCCTTCTCTGTAAAAATATTCCCATTTTTAATGCCAAGTCATTACAAACTACTTACAAATTTATTCTAATGAGTGGTGGTGTGGTTCTCATTGTAATTTCAAGTTCGATTGGTCAAAAGAATACTGTCTACCAAATTAATTTTAACATATATGTAAATGTAGAGCATTTACTTGGCTAGGGCTAACTAATCTGGGCAGAGCATAAACTTCTTTCTATTCCATCTGTGTTGTGAACTGTTTGATTTGTCATGAGAATTGGGTCCCGGACCCACTTAAATATTTCCATTTTATGTTCTTTATCGTAAACAATCCAGAGATTATTGTAACAGAGTTAATTACAATTTTATGATGCATGTGATAAATTTGTTTTTGGTATATTTTTCTATGTGTAGGTCAGCTTACCTTTTAGACGCTTAAAAATTGTTTTCAAGTCTGATATATTTTACCTTCTTGTACAGATTTGTTGCTTTGTTAAACTTGCTTAAAGAAAACTTTACTTGCTCATTCAAAACTTAATCATATTATGTTTTAGAGCAATTGAATAAAATAATCAAATACTTGAAAGTTATTTACTACCTAGTTATCCACATGACTTTCTTCTATCCTTAAGTAGTACCAAAACTGGTGTTTTATAACCTTAATTTAAATTTAATTGAAACTACCGGTCTTTTTTCCCCCAGCATATTTAATGAAAATTTAGTTGTTTTGCTGTAAACCTTATCTTAATTCATTTTACATATTGCCATTTTATCAGGGAAAAGTATTGATCTTTGAGGCAGAAAAATACCTAATGCCATTAACTAGAGCTGCTCTTCTTCAATCGATCAGTCTAGCTTTAAAGCTCTTTAACACCTTATCTTGAAGTTGATATAAATGATCAAATCATTTCTTCAGTTATATCAATTATACAATTGTTGATGTTAAGTTAGTAATGAAGAACTTGATGAGTCAATGTGCTCAGGAGACCTGGATCAGAGTTTTCTCTCTCATGAGAACAGTTGGATTCCTTCAGTCTCCTAGCCTTGCTCAGCTCCAGCTAGCTTCTTCATGAATTAGCCACAGAGGACACTGAGGGCAACAGTATGAACATTTTTTTGACCATAAACTAACTCAGGACACTCCTTTCCATAACAGTTCACAGCCAACTCTGGAATCTGAAAGGAACTAGACACCACCCTGGTCTCAGCTTCCTTTTGGTTTTAGAATTAATATACCACATAGAGAATGGGATTTTCTCCACCACCCCAGTTTAAATACATAAATATGTAGTGGACTTGATTATTAAGAAATATAACTGCTTTGGAACTTTTTTAACAAGATGAAAGAGGTTAGTAAAGAAAATAATCATATTATTCTAAGAGTTTATTCTAAAAAAGGAGAACTTAAATTGAAAGGTAAAGAACTCTTTGACAGTTTCATTTTCTTTTTTCCTAAAAGGAAAAAGTACATTGTTTTCATCTTAGGAATATAGTAATGAAACTAAATTTTGCTCTGTTAATGGAATTTCCATAGTAACATTCATTTTAAAAGAACATATGTTTATAAGAACAATGAAAACACATCATCATCATAGATGGGTGTTGGAAGTTTATAGATTAGCATAGGTTCTGAATATGGGTTTATTTGTGCTAAAATGCAGTAGCACTGGGCATGAACAGATACCATTTGTTAATTTGTACAGTTTTTCATTTGACCATTTCAGTAATTGCATGAAATAAACTCTTTCATTTCTTTGGGATTAAAAATGTATTTTATTAAAAAAATATATTTTATAAAAATAATTGCTTAGTAAGAGAGTTTTTCTTAAAAGTAAGATTCTGGCTATATCTTACTTCACCCACTAGAACACCAAAGTACACAAAGCAGTTTTCTGGTTTCTGAACGTATATACTTGCCCCTAAAATAGAACAATTGAGACAGGAAGCGTAAGAATTGTTAAGAGCAAATAGAAACATGAGTATTCAGTGTCTTCTTTCTTTTCCAGGTAAAAACAAATGGTGTCTCTGATGTCAGGCCAGAGTCATCGTCAAAGAATGACCCATTTGAAGATCTGTCATTTAATCTGCTTGCTATATCAAAGCCTCAGTTATCTGCTCAAGCAACACCTGCTATAATGCCTAACCCAAAAGGGTTGTTTCAGTTGCCTTCTGCAACACAAAGTAACATTGATACTCTGAGTTCTGTAGGTTGCATGCCAACAATACCTCCAATTCCAGCCCGGAGTAAATCCCAAGAAAATATCCGAAGTTCTCCGAACCCATTTTTTACTAGCTTGACCAGCACAAATCCTTTCTCTGACAGGACTGCTTCTGGAAACCCATTCCGAGCACAGTCTCAAGAATCAGAGGTCGCTTCATGGTTTTCCACAGAGAGACCTGTTGCTAACAGGGCGTCCTCTTCCCTGCTGCCCCAAAGTCCCAACAAAAGCAGGCCTTCTTCTTCACTTGATGGTTTTGAGGACAATTTTGATCTGCAGAGCCAATCCTCAACTAAAATTAGCAATCCTAAAGGATGGGTAACCTTTGAAGAAGAGGAGGATTTTGGTGTGAAAAAGTCCAAGTCATCTAGTCTAGGGTCACTGAGTAACCAGCCAGCCTCACTTTCTGGCGTGAACTTGTCCTTTAATGATGACTGGAATAAAGGTACAAATGTTTCTTTATGTGTATTGCCATCAAGAAGACCACCCCCACCTCCCGTCCCTCCACCCGGTCCTGGCCCTTCCGGACATCCCTTCTCCACCACGGCATCAAAGTCATCGCCCACCCTAGACTTTACAGAAAGGTAAAGGCAAGACAGAGTAGTTGTTGGTTTTTTTTTTTCAGTTTGGCAAAAGAGAGCCAAAAGAATTGGGCATTTGTTATTTCATTATGTGCAATAAGGAATTGCTGAACGCACTGAAACTTTTATAAAATACCACTATTTAATGTGTACAAAGTTGGAATATGTGTATATTGGAAATAAGGAAAAGTCCTTCTCATTATTAACTGGAGTTTTGGTGTGTTTTTATTCAGATGAATAGAAAAGAATAGTAGACATAAAAAGTGCTTCAGACTACTTTAGAAAATAGTGCTGATTCAGAAATTCTTTGTGAATCTTCTCTATAAAAAAATTTAGAAAGCCCACACAACTCTTAGCTGACATTACTGCCAGCTGTTTCATACTTATTAACAATTGGTATGTATGAGTATTTACCAAAGATCTGCCAGTTACACTGAAACTGGGAAGATACTGTTTTAAAACATAGGTAGATGTGTGTGTGTGTACACATTGACATCTTTGTAAAACTCAGTTTAAATTCTAGGAAACAATTTAAATCAAACTTTAAATAAAAATTATAACGGTGCCCCTTTTTAAATATCTCATTACAAAAAAAGGTGACTTAAAATATAATTCAGATATTTTATCCATTTTCTTTCCTAGAGTAATATCCCACCAGATCCTAGTTTCTGTACCATTCCACACCCTGTCCTTTCATGCCTGCACACATACATTGTTACTTTCTACTCCAGCACCTCCCAAATGCTTCTCTCTCTATGGAGAAGGCTCTTGTAGCTGGAAGCAGCATCCATCGTGGTCACTGTATGTGGATGGCTGTTCCAACCCTCTTGAACTCGCACTATGGCCTTACATGTAAGGAAGGCACACACCACTAAGCTTGATTAGAAATGCTCGGTCCAAATGGACTCTATTCTCTCTGTACATCAAGGTAGTATGTTGTCTGTCTCCCTCCTATAGCTTTTGCTGCTTTCACACTGGCATTTTGCTTTGCTCAGGAAAAGCAGCAGTCTTCAGTGTGTTTTAAATCACGCACATAATCAGTCTACATTCTCACTTCCCTTAAGAAGTTGCATAACACATCAAAAGTGCTGCTTTAAGTGTTTGGAGGCAATGCCTCAATTTAGCTCTGGATTTTATCTCCTGCACTGCCAATATGCAACTAATTCTGCTTTTATTAAATTTATGAAGAAGTACACAGAATTTTTACAGAGTGTAGTATTTTGATATCATTATGTAAATTCAAAAAAATTCCTTGAGCAATAGTTGTTTTGTTATTTGTTTTACCCATAAAGATTCCTATTAGCATTCCCTTTATATAAAGGGTTATATCTGCCCACCTAAACTTTGAAGGTATGCATTGAGGAGTATCAGAAAATAGAGTTATGGCTGTTATATGTAAAAGCACAGCAAACTGCACTGCACTTAAAATATAAGGAAATATATTAGGGGGAAAAGGCACTTTTCTAACTGCTCAAATGTTATCAAAATACTATATTTATAGAAGTAATCATCTCTCTGTTCAACAGCCAGGATTTGCTGTTAGAAATTACTCTTGTGAGTTTTATATTGTTTGTTTGGGGTTGGGTTTTTTGTTTTGTTTTGTTTTTGGTTTGGTTTTTTTTTTTTAGGGGGAGTCTAATCATTTCAACAGTAGAATATTTTAAACAGCAGTATTATATAAGCATTGTGCTTCAAATGTGAATTGTTGAAACTGTGGCTTTAACATCTACATGGTTAGTGTATATAGTGGTATTGCTCTCCATTAACAAGATAATTCATCAATAGATACATTTGACTAGTGCAAATTGCAGTTCTGTGAGTAATGTTCCCTACTGAATATAAACTACTGTCGACTATATACATATCATGCAGCAGCTCAGGAAAATTATAGTTGGCAAATTGCTAAAAGTGCACAAAGTTATGAAAGTTAAAAGGAACGCTGCAAATAACTTTTCTGTGTATTATTAAACTATTTACCAGTTCTGCAAAAAGCAGAGCAGAAATAGACACTAAGGATCTCTGCGAATTCTTTGTTCTCTATAGTAGTTTGCTGTTTATATGTAAGAATTTTGTTGCTTATGTGGCATACCATATTTATACCTATATACTTTATAGAAGTAAAGTATTAAAGTCAGTGGTATACATTCTGTATATATCCTGTGAAATGTGCTGTCATATAAAATAAATATATCTGTTTACCATGTTGACTTTGCTTAAAAGGAAGTTCTTTTTCCTAGTTCTTTTATTGTGTACATATACAAGTTCAATGACAATTTCAGAATATAGGTTAACATTGTCAAATCAGATATTTTAACTCAAGACCTTGTTTTCATTTGGTTTACTTCTCCATAGACTGCTTACTCTAACAGGATTTTCCAAGATCAAAGGATTTTTCTAAGGCCCTCATTAAAAATCTTGTTGCCATTAAAGAACACATGAAGTATAAATGATGCTTTTTCTAACCTGTAAAGCAGAAATAACTTGATGGAATAAAGGAGGGAACAGCCAGACAAACACAGAAAACAATAATCACGAAAAGAACCTGAGGTCCAAGGTTCCTATAAGGACAGCCTTTTTTTTTCTCTTTCCTATATGATATCACTAATATTCACAAACTAGCAAAATCCTGCTGAAGATTATCCTGAAATGACTAGAACTACCAGAAGTACAAGCTGGGTTTAGAAGAGGTCGTGGCACTAGAGACATTATCACTAATGTCGGATGGATTTTGGCAGAAAGCAGAGAGTACCAGAAGAATGTCTGTGTTTCATTGACTATTCAAAGACATTTTTGTGGATCACAACAAATTGTGGCTAATCTTAAAGAAAATGAGAATCTTAGAACCCTTTATTGTGCTTATGTGAAACGTATACTTGGACCAGGAAGCAGGCCTCTTTACAGAGCAGGAAAACACTGCGTGGTTCAAAATCAGGAAAGGAGTGTGCATCCTGTCTCTTTTCAGTCTATATGCAGAACAGATAATTTGGGAAGAAGGGCTTTATGAGGAGGAATGTGGCATCAAGATTGGAAGAAGATTCATCAACAACCTATGTTATGCAGATGACACAACCCTGCTTTCTGAAAGTGAGGAGGACCTGAAGTGCTTGCTCTGGAAGGTCAAGAACTGTATGTAGTCTTCAATATGGATTGAAGCGCAACATCAAGAAAACAGATTCTCATCACTTGGCCAGCTGGCAGCATCATGATAGTTGGAGAAGAGATGGAGGTTGTTAACAGTTACAGCTTGCTCAGCTCCACAATCAGCACACTTAACACCAGCAGTCAGGAAATCAGAAGACATTGCATTGGGAAAATCTGGTGTCAGGGACCTCTCCAGAGTGCTGAAAAGCAACGACGTCAGTCTAGAGACTACGGTGCACCTAATCTAGGCCATGGTCTTCACAATTAGTACAAATCAGAAAGCTGGACAATGACTCAGGATGACTAAGAAGGAGAATTGATGTCTTTTAAGTTGTGGTGCTGGAGAAGAGTATCAAATATACTATGGACTGCTAGGAAAACAAACAGGTTCATCCTGGAGAATGTGAAACCAGGTTGCTCTTTGGAGGCAAGGATTCTGAAGCTCCATCTGACATACTTTGGGCATGATGCAATGAGGGACTAGTTCTTGGAGAGAGACATACTTGGGAGGGTGAAGTGACAGTGCAAGAGAGGAAGGCCCTGAATGAGATGGATTGATTCAGTGACTGGGGTTATGTGGGTCAGTGTGTCAGAGACAATGAGGTTGGCTCAAGATAGAGGAGGGTTCAGAGCTGTTGTACATAGGGTCACTATGAGTCAGAGTCAACTTCTTTGTGGCACATAGCAAAAACATGGCAGTAGTTGCATCTATGCCAACCGCCCAACTGTTTTCCAGATTGCGTCATTTTACAGCCCCCAGCAGAAATGTGTGTAATACAATATCTCCATAGTCTCACCAACATTTGGAGTTGTCATTATTTCTTATTTTACCTATTCTCATAGTTATGTGCCATTTAATTGTTTTAAATGGTAGAGAGTAATATTAAACAATTTTCATGTGCTTATTTGTCATAACAAAGCCTCTACTTAATGTCCATTCATGTTATTCTTAGTTACCTAGTGCTGCTGCAAGAGAAATGGCACAAATGGATGGCTTTAACAAGCAGAAATTTATTAATTTTTTTTCATAATTTATGTAGGTTTCTTTGAGGCTATAAATCACAAAGAAGGAGCCTAACCATCTTTCTACAGGAAGCAGTAGTTGATTTGAACAGCTAGAGAAGCGTGGCCTGTGTGTTTAGCGTAACTCCCTGAGGACTACGCCACCAGAGATACTTCTTGTTGTCGTCAAGTAGACTCATAGTGACCGTATGCATAAATGACCTGAACCCTGCCCTATCCTGTGCCATTCTCATCATCTGACACACTGGAGTCCATTGCTGAAGTCACCATGACAGTTCTTCTCATTAGGGTCTTCCTCTGCTTTTGTTCTCCATCTTTCCAAGCATGATAAACCTTTCCAAGGAATAGCCTCTCCTGGCAACATATCCAAAGTATGAGAGATGAAGTTTCACCAGCCTTGCCTCCAAAGAGCACTCTAGCTATTCCAGGACGTAACTATTTGTTCTTTGGTGGTCCAGGAGTTAGCACTCTTCTCCAGCACTACAACTCAAAAGCATCAATTCTTCTTCAATCATCTTTAGTCATCATGCTGCTCTCAGAAGTATAGCAGTAATTGGGGGTGGGGGAGGCCTGAATCAGGTGCACCTTAGTCTTCAAACTGTTATCATTGTTCAGCATTATGGAGTGTTTCTGGATAGTGGGCTTGCCTGTAGCAATATATCATCTCCTGATTTCCTAACTGCTAATACCAAGGGTGTTGGTTGTTGATCGAGATTAAATCATTGACAGTGTCAATCCTTTTTCCTTCTATCATGATGTTGATTGTTGGTGCTATAGACTGTAAGGACTTTGCTGTAAGGACTTTTGTTTTCTTGAGGTTGAGATGTAGTCCATACCAAAGGC